ATATATATATATATATATATATATATATATATATATATATATATATATATATATATATATATATATATATATATATATATATATATATTATATATATTATATGACTATATAATTTTGGTTGCTATCTATCTACCTACCGACAGACCGACCGACCGACCGTTGAAGTTAAATGATTAGCCTCCCCTGAATTTTTAAAACATTTTTTAAAAAATATTTCCCAAATGATGTTTAAAGGAGCAAGGACATTTTCACAGTATGTCTGATAATATTTTTTCTTCTAGAGAAAGTCTTATTTGCTTTATTTCGACTAGAAAAAAGTAGTTTTTAATTTTTAAAAAAAACATTTTAAGGTTAATATTATTAGCCCCTGTAAGCTATATAACTTGCCTAATTACCCTAACCTGCCTAGTTAACCTAATTAACCTAGTTAAGCCTTTAAATGTCACTTTAAGCTGTATAGAAGTGTCTTGAAAAATATATAGTCAAACATTATTTACTGTCATCATGACAAAGATAAAATAAATCAGTTATAAGAAATGAGTTATTAAAACTATTATGTGCAGAAATGTGTTGATAAAATCTCTCCATTAATCAGAAATTAGGGAAAAAACAGGGGGGTTAATAACTGACTTCAACTGTATGTATATATAAATTATAAGCCCCCCTGAATTATTAGAACGCTTTTTTATTTTGCCCCCAATTTCTGTTTAACGGAGAGAAGATTTTTTTTTCAACACATTTCTTATTATTAGACATACTGTGAAAATTTCCTTGCTCTGTTAAACATACTTTGGAAAATATTTTAAAAATAAGAACATTTTTTAAAGGGGGCGAATAATTCTGACTTCAAGTGTGTGTGTGTATGTGTGTGTGTGTGTACAGTTGAAGTCAGAATTATTAGCAGAATTATTAAATATTAAATATTTCCCAAATGATGTTTAACACATATTTTCTCTTCTGGAGAAAGACTTATTTGTTTTATTTTGGCTAGAATAAAAGCAGTTTTTAATTTTTTAAACACCAATTTAGGGACAAAATTATTAGAAGTATCTTGAAGAATATCTAGTAAAATATTATTTACAGTCATCATGACAAAGATAAAATAAATCAGTTATTAGAGATGAGGTATTAGAACTATTATGTTTAGAAATGTGTTGAAAAAAATCTTCTCTCCGTTAAACAGAAATTGGGGAAAAAAAATAAACAAGTGGTCTAATAATTCAAGGGGGCTAATAATTCTGACTTCAACTGTGTGTGTGTGTGTGTATACAGTATGTGTATATATATATATATATATATATGTGTGTGTGTGTGTGTGTGTATATATATATATATATATATATATATATATATATATATATATATATATATATATATATATATATATATATATATATACATACATGCATAAATATATACATCCATACATACGCACACGCGCGCGCACACACACACACACACTTTTATATACAATTTATTTTATATGCGATTAATAGCATACAAAATAAAAGTTTGTAGTTACATAATGTACATTAATTTAGTTAGGCTGCACGGTGGTGCAGTGGGTAGCACGTTCGCTTCACAGCAAGAAGGTCGCTGGTTTGAGCCAAGGCTAGGTCAGTTGGCGTTTCTGTGTGGAGTTAGCATGTTCTCCCCGTGTTGGCATTGGTTTCCCCCACAGTCCAAAGACATGCACTATAAGTGAAATAGACTGGGCTAAACTGTCCATAGTGTGTGTGTGTGTGAATGGGACTGTATGGATGTTTCCCAGTGATGGGTTGCAGCTGGAAGGGCATCCGCTGTGTAAAACATATGTTGTATAAGTTGGCGGTTCATTCCGCTGTGGCGACCCCAGATTAAGGGGCAAAGCCGAAAAAATGAATGTATATTAATTTAGTTTGTGTGTATAGTCTAAGTTTTTTGTTATGTAAAATACATGGTTAAATATACACTGCAGACACACACCATAACTATGTAAACAAACTTTTTATGCGAATAATCGCTTAACAGCACTAAATCTTAGTAACACTGCAATTCCAGCAAATTTAGGACGGTTTGTGGCCATTTTTAATCATAAAAGCAACAATAAAAAGAACAGAAGTAAGGCGAGTGTTATCAATTAATTAAATTTCCTTTTAAAGCACTGAGAAGCAGAATTGATATACTAGGATTATTTCTATCGTGATCGCTAGTATTTAAGGCTAAGCAGAGGGCGGACAGATTACAAATTTCTTTATAAATCAAAATTAAGAAACGCCTTAAAAATAAGGCGCGGAATTAAACATTCCGTCTCAAGGCTGTGAGAAAATTCAGTGCGGTCTTTCCAAACACCCTCAAGCACCAATAAATGATGATTGATTTAGTGGCATGTCAAAAAATAATAATCAAAACAAAACAAATACAGAGGTCATCTGCATAAAATCACGTCTTTTACGCTTTTGTTGTCCAACGCATGAAAACCTCACAAATATTTTGTAATACAGACTGACGTCGCAACGTTCCATCTAGTTTAGCGTCGTTTTCTATGTACACGAAACAGAAAGTAAAATACAAAACATGAAGGATTAATAAAATTGTCATGGGCCAATGGTCGACTAGAAAAATATATACATGAACACTATGTATGTATATACTATATGGTATATACATACACGTAACGCTGTACATATATACCATATCTATATTCATATACATGTATATTTACATATTACACAATGACACTTTAATAATCTCTTTTTGTGGTTCCTGTGGCGATTGGCTTTTCCACGGGATTAAACTACATACTGAAAATCATGTGTAATAATAACTGGAATACAGAGGAGCCGCTGCGGAAATACGTAGAAAATGGGCGCAAAAGGAAACTGGAATTTGGAGACTTTAATTCCAGATCCGGAGGAAACTGTCCCATGATCCTGTGGCCACCGCCATCCCGTCATCGGTTACTCCTAAACAGCTCACTCTGTTGTCATGGCCGGCTAGGACGCCTGAAGAGAGAGATAAAAATACATTATCAATAAATCCTTACATTTTTATAGTGCTTTTCTGGACACTCAAATCGCTTTACACACATTTTTGGGAGGAATCTCCTTATCCATCACCAGTGTGCAGCTGGACAATGCAAGGGCAGCCATATTGCACCAGACCACACACCAGATTGGTGGATGAAGAGTGATAAAGCCAATTATGATATGACATGATGGACAAATGGGCAAATTTGAAACCCTGCTCTTTTTTTGAAAGACATCTTTATTAACAGCCACAGAGAGTCAGGACCTTGGTTTAACGTAACATCCGAAAGACGACGCTCACTCAGCAGTATAGAGCCCCCATCATTATACTGGGGTGTTAGGACTAACACAGACCACAGGCTGAGCGCCCCCTGCTGGCCTCACTATCATAATGCAACTCACCTGAATGTAATAAAATGAAAAAGTACAATATATATATATATATTAAAAGTGTTATTAATTGAAGGAAAACAAAAATGAAAAATACACAAGAATATTACAAAATAATACAAGTTAAAATAAAAAATTAAATAAAAGTACAAAAATATATTAAGAAAAAATTGTTTAGAATTAATCAAAGCAAAATAACACACATAAAAATATTCCAAATAAAAATAATGTATAACTAAATGTAAAACAATGCAAAAATTAAACTAATAAAAATAAATCAAGTATAAAAAAATGATAAATTAAGTGTTATAATTAATTGAAGCAAAATAAAAACAGAAAAAATACATGAAAATATTACAAATAAAAAAAAATGAAGCAAAACAATACAAAAATGTCAAACTAAATGATTAAACTAAACGAAAATGTTGCAAAAAAGAATGTAAAACAATGCAAAAAAGTTTAAACAAATAGAAACTGAAGAAAAAGATAAATAAAAATCACAAATGATAAGACATAAAATGTAGATAGAATAAAAATGATTAAAAAAATAACAAAAAGGCAATAAAAAAATAAGGACAAAATATAAAAAGCAGATTTTAAAAATGGTTTTTAAAAAAAAATCAAATGCATAAAAGAAAATTAAAGAGTAAAAAAAAATTCACAAATAATAAAAAAATAAAAAAATTTGTTATACATTTCAAATATTAAATACAGCCAACATCAAATGTATATGCATGCACTAAACCTAATATGTTTAAAAACCTATTAAAAAGCACAGTAAAAACTATTGTGTCTAACAATGTACAAGTAAACACTAAACCTATTAAACGCATTAAAAAACACATTTAAAAAGCACAGAGAAAGCAATCGTGTCTCAATGTACAGTTAAAGTCAGAACTATTTGCCCCCCTTAGAATTTTATTTTCTTTTTAAAAATTTTCCCAAATGTTGTTAAACAGATTCAGGAAAGTTTCACAGTATGTCTGATAATATTTTTTCTTCTGGAGAAACTCTTCTTTGTTTTATTTCAGCTAGAATAAAAGCAGTTTTTATTTTTTTTAAAAAACATTTTAAGGTCAATATTATTCGCCCCTTCAGCAATATTAGTGTTGGATTGTCTCCAGAACAAACCACTGTTATACAATGACTTGCCTAATTACCCTAACTTTACCCTGATTACCCTAGTGAAGCCTTTAAATGTCACTTTAAGCTGAATACTAGTGTCTTGAAGAATATCTAGTCTAATATTATTTACTGTCATCATGACAAAGAGAAAATAAATCAGTTATTAGAGATGAGTTATTAACACTATTATGATTACAAATGTGTTGAAGGAATCTGCTCTCCGTTACACAGAAAATGAGGGAAAAAATAAACAGGGGGGCTAATAATTCTGACCTCAACTGTATATACATACACTAAACCTATTAAACCCACTGAAAAGCACAGAAAGAGCAATATTTCCTCACCCGTCCGTTCTCCTTTTAAAGTGTCCCAGACGTTGCAGTTGAAGTCGTCATATCCGGCCAGCAGCAGGCGTCCGCTCTTGGAGAAGGCCACGGAGGTGATGCCGCAGATGATGTTATCATGAGTGTACATCATCAGCTCCTGATCCGCACGCAGGTCGAACAGCCTGCAGGTGGCGTCGTCTGAGCCCGTCGTGAAGGCGTTTCCATTCGGGAAGAACTGGATGGGTAAAACACACAATCAAGATTTAGCTTTATTATCAATTCAGTCACATTAAAATTATTTGTCTCCTGTCAATTTTATTTTCAAATATTTCCCAAATGATGTTGAACAGATTCAGGAATTTCTCATAATATTTCCAATATTTGTTCTTCTAAAGAAAGTCTTATTTGTTTTATTTCGGCTAAAATTAAAGCAGTTCTAATTGTTTTAAAGCCATTTTAAGGTCAATATTATTCACCCCTTCAGCAATATTAGTGTTGGATTGTCTCCAGAACAAACCACTGTTATACAATGACTTGCCTACTTACCCTAACTTTACCCTAATTACCCTAGTGAAGCCTTTACATGTCACTTTAAGCTGAATACTAGTGTCTAGTATTAGTCTAAAGAATATCTAGTCTAATATTATGTGCTGTCATCATGACTAAGAGAAAATAAATCAGTTATAAGAGATGAGTTATTAAAACTATTTTGATTAGAAATGTGTTGAAGAAAATCTCTCTGTTAAACAGAAATTAAGGGAAGGAGGAGGGCGAATAATTCTGACTTCAAGTGTGTGTGTGTGTGTGTGTGTGTGTGTGTGTGTGTGTGTGTGTGTGTGTGTGTGTGTGTGTATATATATATATATATATATATATATATATATATATATATAAATAAATGTATACACACACACACAGTAAATAAATAATATTTAATATTTGAATAATAATAATTGATATTGTACGTGATATACCAATGAATAAATGAAAAATTATACTTGATATTTAAATGTACGTAAGGGTACCGAG